TTTTTTTTTGCCTTGCCTTTCTTGTGTCTTTGCATCTTGCCCATATACACACAGTTCTGCTTATCTCTGAAGCTTTCATTGACTGCTTTGCCCTGCCCCGTCTCTGCTCCTTGGACTCCTCTCACATTTGTAGATTTGTAGTCAGTTGACCCCAGATTGTTTTATGTTTTGTGTGTTGGCTTTATGCTTCTGCTAGCATATCCTTGAAGGGGTGAGCTGTATCTGTTGCTTCTTTTGACACATTGTACTCTCTTATGCTGTTCAATAAGTGTTTAATGACTTTCACCAAATCAAATATAAATTATTAAGAGACCACATTGTGTTCAAGCAGGACACACATATTTTACTTTATCTGAACGTGAATTTAGTGATTTGAAACTTCAGTGTCAGAGATGTTAATTTGGCCAAGAGGATGATCAGATTACACATTTGTTGTATATGCAAGAGGATGTGATGGTGGATATATACCATGATGAGCTGTTTCTTAGGATTGAAGAGGTTGCAACCTGTTCTGGACATTGAAGAATTTCAAGCAGTGCTTATCCGTCTGGGTTAGGCTTGTGTACAAACGCAAAATGACCATGGCTTAAACAGGTGGAAGTTTGTGTCTTGTCACATTTAGGAAGTGTGGAGGTGGATATCCCTAGTACCTTCTGTAGGTGCTTCACTTCCTGCACTGCCCTTCTGAGCACTGGCTGGTATTTTCAAGATTGCTTCATGGTCCAGAATGGTTCCTAGGACTCCAGCCATCTCATCTATATTCCAGATATTAAGAAAGAAGATATATTCTTTCAGGAATAGAAGAAGAAGTATATTTTCATAAGCATAAGAGTTCATGCCAGGTGTGGTGGTGCACACCTGTAATCTCAGCACTTGGGAGGCTGAGGCAGGAGGATCACTGTGAGTTTCAGGCCAGCCTGAAGTACATGGAAAGACCCTGTCTAAAAAAAAAAAAGTCCACAGAAGTTCCACGTATCCTTTGCTTATCTCAGTGACCAGAGTTGTCACATGGCCATATCTGCCTACACAGAAGGCTGGCAAGTGTATTGTTTTACTGGTACCAGGTGTTCATCCAAAAATGGGCTACTGCTTTAAGGGGAGATGGGGATAAAATGGCTAAGCAATTGGCCATTTCTGTCATAAAATAGAAGTCTTTATTCAACCAAAATCTTGTGTGGAAGCCCACTTCCTAAAACAGATGAGAGGACGCTTCCCTGCCTGGAAGTGGGTACAAGCTGCGTTCCCCTGCTGGGCCTCTCTGGGATTTCTCAGACTCCAGGCCTCTGCCAGTAGTTGGCCCAGCTGTCTGCCTATTTCCGTAGCTTTTCATTAGCTGCAGAAGACTTAAAAAGGAAAAACGTGATAATTCTAAAGTATTTTACCTTTAGAGTTTATTGTAAATTTTCTAAAATTGCTTTTATTAATTATCTTCCGTGTCTACTCCCAGACCAGTGTTAATGCTAGTGCTAACCGGTGTTAACAGTTTGATGATATGATTTATCATATTTCAGTGCAGAGAATTCCTTCATCAGGTGTATGTTTTTTAATACACACCAAGGTTTTTCTGTCACTGAATGTTTCCTAATGTAGAATTTGTACTTGGCACTCAGGAGGCATCGTCTTTGTTTTCTCTGTTGCAGGTTTAATAGACTACAACTTCCACTGTTTCCGGAAAGCTATTCATGAGGTGTTTGAGGTGGGTGTGGCTTCTCACAGGAGCTGTGGTCATCAGTCCACCGCCCCCAGTCTGAAAGCATTGGCACACAATGGCACGCCTCGGAATGCCATCTAGTCAGACTCCCAGTGGTTGGGGCTTGCTGCCAGCTGACTCCTCACTCCAAGGTCAAATGCCGCGTGCTACAGGACATGAGAGCTGCCGCTTGTGGGGACCTGTGCCTGTCCCTCTAGAGGCGAGGGGGTAGCGTTTTTGATTCGGATGAAAACCCCTTCAGCTGGTGGTATACAACTGAAGCTGTTGTTTCTTTTTAAAAAATTGGCAGAGAAGAATTCTAGAGGTTACTGAACTCAAGTTGTCTTTTTCTTCTTTTGAGTCCTACTTTAAATAGTTGGAATATTTTGGACCTGAAGATCACACCAGTTACCCATCCTTATCAGGTACTGTTGCCATCAGTTCCAGCTGAAAATAATGGACAAAACCGAATTTTTATATGCTTCCCTTAGGCTTTCATTTGAATAGTGTGCTTTGCTTAAATTCTAACACTGCCTCTGAGATCTCAGTTTTGGACATTGTACATCTAAGACCTTTTAAATGCGTTCGCTTGCTAACTCGGAAGATGCATCGTCTGACTGCAGCAAAAGACATTTCTATATTTGTTACTGAGGGAATGAAATAAAATTCTATGCTGCGTCGGGTAGAGAGCAAGGCTGCACAGGGGCTGCATCAGTTCCCTTGGAGGTGTTGCAGAAAAAAACTTCGAAACAGAAGAAAATTTTGTACCCTTGTTTTGGGTACCAGAGATGTCATGAGTTCCTTCTCCTGCATTTGATAAATGATCATGCTTCGTGTAACAAAGGGAATTTTTAAAAAACTTTTTCCCAAAGTCCCCTTGTAGGGGAGAAACTCATTATGTTGCTGAAATATTTAGCCTATTTTTCTTTAATCTTGATATCAGCCTCTTCACTGCTTTTATTCTAAACTGTCTACATTCTGTCAGCATTGCTGTTTGTTGACCCAAAGGCACTGGTGGCTCCGCTGGAGGTGGGAACATGCGGTGCCACGACACGTGTTGTCTTACATGCTCGTCTCCAGTATTCTGACCCGAGTGTCAGCTGTGGTACTTTTTTCACATAGGCTGTTGATTTGTAATTGTTTCTTTTTGTTGATGGTTGATACCCTTCCCACTGATTTAAACTTACACATTATTTTTACTCCACACGCCCAGTAGTCACATATTCCAAAGCCACTGGACCACTTGAGTATGTAAGTGCCGCTGTTTAATGAAACATACATTCAGGTCTATAAACCTAGCAGTGTGACTTGGAGTGCTTCCTGCAGATGACTCTGACTGTTGAGTATTTACATGGACCACGGTGATATCCAAAAGAAAAAATGCTTTTATATTTATAGATTATTTCATTGAACTATATATAAAATGGGTATCAATAAATGTATTTACTCCAAAATCAGTCTTCTGCCTTGCCTAAAGTATGAGAGGGTGGGCTACCGGAACATCGGAGTGTCCCACTCTGTCATCATCTTTTCATCCGTTTCCTTTTCTGCTGCCTTATGTAGTTCCCTTCCCTTTGTTTCAGGACTTGTGTCAATGCAGGAATTCCCCCGCAGGTATCTCCCCTGGCTCATTTCTGTTCCAGTGTAGGAGATGTGGCCAGGTGAAAATGTGTTTCGGTTGTCTTTCATCTCTACAGACGTCACTCAGTGCCAGGAATATCCAGGGCCTGGCATGACTGATGCATTGTATTCAAGTGAGGGAGTCAGGAGACGATTGAAATAGAATACTATTAAAAAGATGGTACGTGGTCCAGCTTTTTTTTTTTTTCCCTGTTCCTGAGATGCTCACTATTGACCCTTAAGTGTCTGTTAAATTAGTGTTCTGTTTGTGTAAACATACAGTTGGGTCTGAGCTGGTTGGAGAAAAGTATGTTATCAGTGGGAGGGAGGTCAAGGTTGAAAAATAATTGGACTACAGTAGAAGTTAAGTTTTAAAACTCTAAAATGAAAAATCACAGAGACAGTTTGAAAAAGCTTATTAAAATATTTAGTCCTAACTCATTTGGAAACGGGTCCTGAGGGGTACAGCATTGTATTGAGGCCTGTAGAAGGCCTGAAAGGCCTCTTGCGATGGGTGGGGCTTTTGGGCGGTGATTGGATCATGGGACAGTGTACTCACAGGGGTTCCGTCCAATGCTAAGTTTACAGCTGAATGTGCTCTTTGGGGTTGGGGGGTATCTCCCTCCTGGCTCCCCACTTTGTCTCTCCGCTTCCTGGTGAGCAGCTTTTCCTCCACCACGCCCCCCTCCTCTGTGCCATCCTGTCCTGCAGCCAGCCGACTGGACTAAAGTGTGAGCCAGAACAAACCTTTCCAGTTGTGGGTAGCAGGTAATTTGTCGCAGCAACGAGGAAGATTAACCAAGAAAATGGCCATGTAACTTAAAATTCCAAGCCGGGATACTGCTGAGGGTGGACAGGATGCTGTTCATAATTATGCCTGAGCGACAGATGGAAGCTGACACCATCCCAGGTGAACCACAGGTGGCTAGACTAGTCACAGCTGTAGGTGGTGGCAAAGTGGGGCTCTAGCTCTGACAGCCCTGCGCTGCCTGCCCCTCCTACTCAGAGGTCTGAGGCAGGAGGCTCACATGAGCCTAGAAATGCAAGGTCAGCCCCGGCAACAAAGCGCGCGCGGTGTGTGTGTGTGTGTGTGTGTGTGTTGGGGAACCTGAGTAATGAACCCAGGCCTCTGTTTTGAGACAGGGTTTTATTAAGTCACTCAGTTGCAATGCTTCTGCCTCAGCCTCCCAGAGCACTGGGATAAGAGGTGTGTGTATGGCACATAGGTGCCTAGTAGTTATTTCTGCTAGTACTATTAACAATTCAAGGAGTGGTTACAGAGAAAAAGTGAAAGAGAAATAGCGTGAAATAGAATGTTGAAAGACTAAGGTAAAAGAATAATATAAAACTTCCAACTGTTTATCTGAATTGTGTTTGCAACCTCATGGGTATTGATTTGTACCAGTTACCTGAGAGCTGGGAAGGATGGCTACAAGAACTTTACAATCTTTTGCAACAAGGAGTTTTAATAAAATTCACATGCTCCGCCTCTTCTGTCCACACACATTTCACACCTACACTTGTACATGTGTGTACATAGTGATGTCCCAGTATAGGAGGCTGGAATTATTTGTGACTTGTGTTAATTTACCTTCTATCCTTGAGTTCTGTCCTCATGCAGAGAAGCGACAGAAGAGGATAAAATGATGACAGTGTACACGTTTTGCTGGGTAAAAGCACTGTGTGACCTGTGGATTTTGGTAAGGCTCTGTTTTCCCTTTTTTTTGTGCAAATCCTGGAAGCTCTTCAGTGATTGAAAAGCGATTATCAGTGGCCATTTTTACAGTTTTCTATCTAAGCTAGCAAAGTGAACATTCCCCTCTGTGAGGGCGCTGAAGAGCATGGTGTCTACGGGGAATGCAGGCAGCAGTGGGTGTAGCTGGAGTGCATCTGGACGAACAGCGGCTTCTCTGAACTGCGTCACTGCGCGTAACGTCCACCCAGGACATAAGGAGATAGCAACAGCTCCCGGCGTTTTAGGTGGTTTATTTGTATCACCTCATGAAATCTTCACAGCACCTTGAGAGTGGGGGTTACAGTCCTGTTCACAGAAACTGAGGCACACGGAAGCTGAATTGTGGAGTCAGGATTGGAACCCATACAGTTTGCTTCCAGAGCGTGTGTGTGTGTGTGTGTGTGTGTGTGTGTGCGCGCGCGCGCGCGCGCTGAAGACTGAACCAGGGCTTTTGCGTTGAGCTATATCCACGCCTTTCTTTTTTGAGACAGGGTCTTACTGGGTCACCAAGTTTCCCAGGCTGGGCTCAAACTTGATCTTCCTGCCTCAGCCTTCCAGAGTGCTGGGATTAAAGAATGCTCCGCAGCACCCGGCTCAGAACCTTGAACCACCAAATGACCTTGTTCTCCTTGTGTGTTTTGCAGAAAAAGAATTTTATAGTTAAATTTTGGAAACGTGCATTCTGTCATCTTTTTGGAGATCACTATGTATAGTCAAATACTAAAGGCGTCGAGAAGACCTGTAATAAAGAGCCCTGTTTATCTCCATTCATATTACATGTTCTTATTTGATCCTTTGGAAATGCTTGTGCGTAATGAATATACGGCAGGACATATTACAGGTAGAACCGTTTTGTGGCATTGGAAGTATGAGTTTTTAAATGCCATTTTCTATATGTTTTAATACAATCTTGTCCTTGTTTAGAATGATGGTAGAAACTTACTACTCTGTAGCATTTTTTCACAGTACACCGTTGTTTAGGGGAAGCATTTCCTCATGTCAGCTGCCTGGAGTCTGTTCTCTGGGCAATGTTTGCTGTGGTGTCCAGTTCCTTAGATTTTAGCCTCTAGGTGGCGGTATTGTACTATACATTTCCAGCTTTCTGGCTTCTGCGTATTTGCTGTTTTGAAAGTTCATATTGCCTGCATCATCCACATGGACAGGTAATTTAGAGGTGAAGTTATTTGCCCTGAGATACTGTGCAGGACTGATTTGAGACTTTTTAAAAATTGGAAATGAAGCAGCTTGCAATTTTCTTTTTGACAGGTTGGATAGGATGAAGGTTCTAACATCATTTGCTTTATGAATTATGAGTTACCAAGGGGCCTTAGGATGATCGCTGTGTCTACATTTCCATGCAGGCAGAACTTCTTTATCTCTAAACCGTCTCTTGTAGCTGTGTGTGCCCTTAAAGATTCCCATAGAAGGAAATGTTATATATTTAAATTAAAATAGTGGCTTTCCTCACTTTTTTTTTTGTCTTTTTGAGACAAGGTCTTGCTATGCAATTCAGACTGGGCTTGAGCTCACTTTGTAGCCCAGGCTGGTCTCGAACTCGCAGTGATTCTCCTGCCTCAGCCTCCTGAGTGCTGGGATTATAGGTGTGCGCCACCATGCCCAGCTTCATCACTTTTCTTAAATGAAGTTTGTTGAAATTATTTCACACTTGGGCTTGAGACAAAAATACTGTGAAGGAAAAGACCACGGCATGTTATCCTTTCAAGGGGCACTTTTTATTTCTTCTAGAGTCACACCGTTTCCCTGTAATCTGTAATTTTAACATTAAGGGAGTAGATGCATCATGCATCCTCAGACCTGTTTCAAATGTAGCAGAGGAAATTGCAAAGGACAGTTATAGGGAGGAAGGAAATGGCAGGAAAGCAGCTCCCCACTTGAAATTGCCTGTCATGTCAGTGTATTCTGCTCAGGGTGTTGCAGCTTCCACCTGAAGATTCGTACAGTTTTTTTTTTTTTTTGTTTTTGTTTTTTGTCTTTTTTTGAGACAGGGTCTCACTCTGCAGTTCAGGCTGGCCTTGAGCTCACTTTGTAGCTCAGGCTGGTCTCGATCTTGAGATGATCCGCCTGCCTCAGCCTCCCAAGTGCTGGGATTACAGGCGTGCACCACCACACCCGGCTTACACTTTGAAATACTAGGCTGGAGGTGATGGTACACACCTATAATCCCAGGACTCAGGAAGCTAAGGCAGAAGGATCTTTGCAAGTTCAAGGCCAGCCTGGACTACATAGGAGACCTTGTCTCAAAACCCCCCAAAACAAAACAAAACCCAAAACACCCAAAAATCTAAAATGAAATATCAATCTTCTGCATTGTTGGTTTTGCTTTTCTTGAGGTGCCAGGACGCGCAGTGTTAGTGAATTGTGCATAGCTCTTCCTTTCTTCCCAGGTCCTGTACCCTGACTGCTCGAGTAGGCGTGCACTTCGTGTTCCAGGTAACGAGTCAGCTGAGATGGGAGTGTTAATGTCTTTGTGCAGACTGAGCCTATCCTATTCAAAAAGCAGAGCTGGCGTTCTCCATCCTGAGACGTTGTTCCGCAAAAGGCACTGGCCTGTGGTCCTGCCAACCGCTTCTCTGACACCTGTCTTGGCTTTGGAAATGGAACTATTTGTCATTTCCATGTGTGTAGGTTGCTTTTGTGCTGCATTGTGGCTCTTTCTGGTTAGATGTTTAATAAGACCAAGCCTCCTGGCTCTGCCTCCTGACTGCTGGACCCCCGTGGCAGTGGCAGAAAGGGGTGGTAGAAAAAGGCGATCTGTTATGCCGAGGTCAGGAGCTGCAGGGTTTCAGGAGAAGCACCCTGTAACAACTAGAGTCATGAGGCTGGATGAGCGGAAGGAGACCGAGCTGGAGATCAGGCCAGCGCGCGGGTGAGGGCAGTGCTGGGTGCGCCGGGCCTTGGAGGAGGGCTGCAGTGAGTCAGTGGCAGGAGGACAGCTGGGACGCAAGTTCGAATGAATGATGCTTACAGCGAGAAAGAAGCCAGGCAGAGGAAGGAGGGCTTACAGTGAAATGCAACGCCGAGACCCAGGGGCAAGAACAAGTGAGAGATCTTCGTTTTGCCTAGGAACGTTGGTGACTT